TGGCAGTGGGACACTTTGAGAGGATCAGCCCATTCTCCACCTGAGTCCTGAATGGCATGGTCTCTGCCAGGCTCTGTCCAGTTTCTGGCCCAGACTGCAAGACCTGTCAGTGATGCTTTTCCCCAGCATGAACAAAACTCACAGGGTGAACAGAAAAGTACCAGATTCCACATATATCGCTGGGAGAAGGGATGTGAAAGTTTCACAGCCCCTGAGGCTTGCCTGCCTTGCCCACTTGCAGCCCCACCTGGTTCCTTCAGAGCAATCCTGGCTGGCCGTTCTGCATCTCCCCTGGCTTGGCCACCCATATGAGCTGTGTTCTGGTGATTGCACCTCACAGCCGAGACATGAACTTCTTGCATTTAGAAAGGCAGCTGCCAGACAACTTTGCCATGTTTTTGCAAGAAGACGTTAGAGGGGATACATTTTTGCTTTCTCCTTCACAGAAGATGGTGATGGAAGAGGGAAGCCTGATAAGATATGCCTACTTGATACCATTTCTGTGGGTGAGAATTGAATGCCTGGGTAGGCAGGAGTTAGAGCTGGCTGAGAGCTCAGCAGAACAGAAAGGTACTTCTCTTAACAGTGAACCCGCCTTTCCTTCTTCCCAGGAGAGCTGCTGGCCCATTCTTTTCTCCCCTTTTCGTTTCAGCTCTCAGAGAAAAGGATGTGTTTGCCCTCTGCTTAGGCTTTTGAACTGAAACATGCCCTATGGGCCTCGTGGCAACTTGTCTGCACCCCATTACTTATGTTCCATGCCCCAAATTCAGTTTCAGGAATAGCTGCCAGGGTGTCTGCCAGGCAAGTGCTAGAGGCATCTATTCAGAGAGCTCACCATCCTGGGTTAATAACAGGGTTTCAGGACACGCTCCCTATCTCACCTGCTGCCACCCTACCCTGAGGAGTGATGCTAGAAAAGTACATCTTTTTAGATACCATATGAGAGGGATGAACATCAACAGCTAAAGAGAATTAGGGCACAGAAGCATGCAAACAAAACTTGACCCTTGGAAAGGGCCAACACCTCCCATAATTTGTAGGGAGACCGTCTCCATACTCCAGATCCGTGGCAGTCCTTGATGACAGCAGAGGTTCCTTCACAGGATCAGACCAGCCTTCTCCCACCTCCTCTTGCATCAGCTCACCAGACTGCCTGGGTGCACAGCACGGAGGATCTAGAAGGAGAAAGAAACACTTTGCAGGAGCTGCCTCCTCCCCAAGTCACTCATCAAAACTGGGGAGGGAAAACGTCCTGCACCCAGCACCTCTTCTTGAACCAGAAGTACCTACGTGGTGTCATGCAGGGTCTCTGTGCCCAGCAGTAGGAATTCATGGGCAGGGGAAGGCACAGGAGCAGGATGTGCTCCTCTGCTCTCCTCCCAGTGGGGTTAGTTGTCTTGCCAGAGCAAGGGGAGAGAGAGAAGAGCATCACTGTCACAGCCCCTTAACCTAGACACTGAGCTTCAGGTTGTGCTTCTAGCAAGGAGTGAGAGCAGCCACATGTGACCAACATTTTCACCTTATCAGGACCCTCAACATTCCTCCAGGCTGGAAGCCCACCACCTGGCACACAGGTGATGCTGAGGCAGGCCGTGGTGGGAAATAAGCAAGACTAGGTGCAGACTTCTTTAAATTCATACTACGCTGATCCCTCAACACCATCTCGGTGCCAATCTTGAGAAGATCAGCATCCACGAACTGCCCACAGATTGGGCCTCCTCTGGGAGAGACTGCTGCTTTCACGCCCAGGGCAGGAAAGCTTTATCAGGAGCTCCAAGGCAGGAGACAGCTGCGAGCTGCAGCCTTGCAAGAGCTGCAGAAATAACAAATAGGGCTGTGACACAGCGCATGCACACAAAAATGAAGATGAGAAAATGAGGAACGAACAATTGCAGTGAAAACTGTTACCAATATGTGCTAACTTAAATGACCATCTGAGAGCATAAGGAATCATGTTTTGAAGTACTGAAGTGTTTTGCACTACTTGAATTCTTTAAAGTAGTCTGACATGATTAATTTAAAGACACGTAACTTAAATGGCTTTTCCAATTCTGTTTCCAGTTAGTAGATGATTGTTATCAATTTAAATACCTTTAATCCCATCCTACATCCGTTGAAAGGTGCAGTGTTTTCAGTATTCCAAGGTGTTGTTTGTTTCCCGTCCCCCCTCAATTACTATACAGGAGACTATATCTAATTGTTTTATTCCTTACTGTCATAACCAAGAGTAAGTGTTTAAAACATAATTCTCTTCTCATATGTTTCTAGATATCCTACTAAGCGTATCTATACTTGAGTTTGATATTTCTAACAATTGTTTTATTCAACTCCAAACAAATTTTATAATCCTAAAGTATGGAAAGAAAAGAACTGAAAGGAATAGAAAATGCAGGAAAGGCATCGCAGAGGCAAACAAAAATGGATTTTATCTCTTCATCTAGCTCCTCAAGTACCCTCAATGTTTTTCCCAAGAAACGTTAATGAGAATAGCATCTGTTATTTAACAAATAACAGCTGGGGATGGGAGGGAAGGGATGAAGGTGTCCAACAGCCAAAACCCAAAAAAGTATGAATTAGGCCTCTGCCTATATGCAGGTCTTGCTATACTGTATTGCACACTAGCTAATTATTTTGAGAACATGCTCAGATTTGCATGAAAGCACAAATTTATCAGAAAGACAGACTTTCACCATTTAAACAAACAAACGCTACAATTCTAGCTGCAACAGTGAAATTATAATCCTCAAAACTGAAGTTTGTCCCACTAAAATGACAGAGCAGAAGTCTCGAACAGCTCAAAACTTGTAGGTCCAATTAAAAACACAGATTACTTCTGAATGAAAACTCTTCCAGTGCTGGCTAATTTACTGCTTTATGCACCACATTTCCTTCTGCCTAACACAGGTTTTACCTTCCCATTTGGGAAATGAGATTCCCAAATTCGAGCCACCAACAGCAGAAATAATGCAATCCAGAGCAGCTTTCACCTGCGGTCCCCAGACCCCAGGTGGGTCCACAGATAACCTTTGAGGTGTGGTAGAAGATGATCAAGAAATGCATATTCATAAATGCTATGGAGCAACATATAAAAACATTTTTCACTTTTAGTCTCTCTTTGTAAAAAATTGTAAAAGGACTTGCATCGCCATTGGGAATTTTTTTAAGAGGCTGTAAGAAGATTAAAAGCAATATGGACCCTGTGTGCCTGTTCCTAAACCTCTTATTCATTCTCTCCTGTGTCCTACATTCACAGAGATACCCAAGACTTGGGCGTGAACACAGCAGACACCAACTACCCCATCATCTCACTAAACCCATTTTTGCAACACCATTTTACATTAGTAAAAAACCCTTAATCCTCCTTTTGCAGTAGTGTGCAACCCACTCTCCTCCACTGCTAGCAGGATCTACATAACACAACGCAGAGCTGGATATGGATCAGAGAGCAGGAGAGACACATCAGCTCGACCTGCTTTGCCCACTAAGCTCACACACCTCTTCTGCCAAGCTCTGCCTGGCTGCAGTAGCAGCAACTGCAGCTTCACATCGAAGGGAGTCATGATAAAAGCATCTTTTTGAGTCCCTACCCAGAAGCCTGAGAAAAGAGCGCTACATCTTATGATACTGAGCTTCTTCACAAAAATGAATAATTTTTTTTTAACCATCAGCATTATATTAAAGATAAAAAACTCTAACATGGTGAATAAACAAGGCAATGACAACCAATCCTTGAAGTATAATTGCAACAACAACTGTAAAGTCTTTTCCTCAAGGAAGGAAACTGGTAGAGCAACAGAATGTTTGCTACATCCACTAGTAGTCCTCACTCTGACCTCGATTTTTAAACCTTGCTGGGTAACACAGCCAGCCCCACGGTGCGAGTGGTTTCTGGCACTTGCTTTTTCTCTTGCCTGAGCATGGGCACTGACCCTGCTTCTGCCAGCTGCACCTTGCACAGCTCTTCCCCGTGATGTGCACACTTCACTGGCCGACACTCTTAACCCAGCAGCTCTGCCAAGAGTTTCCCTGTGTGCAACCACCCCTGTGCTTGCAGGAAACCCTCCAGAAGTTTGATCCTCACATAGGTCTAGGGAAACACCACATACATTTCTCCTGCCCTGTCTCTCCTTTGCAGGCGCCAAGCTTTGCTTCACAAGACTGCAAGCAGTCCTGCAATGATGCTTTCAGGCATCAGCAGATGTGGCCAACCTAGATTACTGTACACCATTGCCATTACAAACTCCACTGTGTGAGCACACTCCCTCCTTCATAGAAATGCCTCTCAAACGCACCATAACATACGCAAAATACCTAATTTCAGGCCAGCCCACTGGTCTGTTACCGTTTACATCCATATTGTCCGTGGGTGGCAGGGGTTCCCATTGGCAGTTCTTCATCAGGGAGCAGGAGGCATTTGCCTTCACTTTCAGCCCGAGTCACTAGCCTCAGGCTCAAATGAAGGGCTGCATTGTCATAGCTCTATTACTTCCAGCTTCAAGTTATCACCTCCTCACAGCTCTCGGGCAAACCAGATGGCTCACACCTAGCTGAGGCATCCCTCCACAGCTCTGCTCCCTCATACAACCACACCTGGCAATGCTCAAAGCCACCACCTCTGGGGAGAGCACCTCTATACCCCATTTCTATACCCTACACTAGATTTGAGAATGCATGGGAATGACAGGAAGTCCCACCAACATGTGGCTTTAATGTTCGTTCTCTCTCCAGTAAGATTCCTGTTGAGTTTCTAATAAGACTAGACACCGTACTATTTTTCTGTTTATTTCAGCTGTAATACAGCAGAAAAAAAAATTTACAGAGATCTTCCACACACAGGAAAAGCAAGTATTTCTCAGGGCTAGATTCTAAGACATAGAACACAAACAAGGATAAATTCCACACCGAATTATTTGAGCTAAAAATGAAAACCATAAAAGCTGCGCAAAAGATCAGCACACACTAGCAAACTTGTGGCAATGCCTTTTTCAAATCTCTGCAACCTAGCGAAGAACTGCACAGAGGCTGTATGGGTGAGGTTTCATCGTGCTCCCAAAGATCATGTCTGTGTTGACTTCCTTAACTCCTTCTGGCAGAGTGAACTTGAACGTCTGCAACAGGCTGCAGAAGATGATGAAAAGCTCCATCTTTGCCAGCACCTCTCCCAGACACATTCGGTGTCCTGCAGCGAGA